TATAGGTATCTATAGGGGTCTCTGGGGGGCTATAGGGGTTCTATGGGGTCTATGGGGGTTCTATTGGGGATTATAGGGGTACTATAGGGTTCTATAGGGCTCAGCACCCATGACAGCAGCAATGGGTCTCTAATTGGGTCTGTGGGGGTTCTATCGGGATCTATAGGGGTCTACGGGGTTCTATAGGGTTCTATAGGGGTTCTGTGGTGGAACAGCATCACGGACAGCAGCATTGGGGCTCTATAGGGGTTCTATAGGGATCTACGGGGGTTCTATAGGGGTCCAGCAGCTGGAGGGGGCAATGGGATCCTATGGGGCCTAGGGGGGATTCTATGGGAGCTCTATAGGCGGTCCTATAGGGGTTGTATAGGGGGAGGACAATGGCAGCTCTATGGGGGGTTCTATAGGACGGTCCTACAGGGGCTGTATGGGTTCTATAGGGGATTCTACAGGGTCTATATGAAGCCTATGGGGGTTCTATGGGGGGGGTTCTATGGGGTTTCGATACGGGTTCTATAGGAGATTGTTTAGGGGGCTTTATAGGGGGCTCTATATGGGGTATTCTATGGGGGGACCATAGGGGTTCTGTGGGGGCTTCTATAGGGGGGTTCTGTAGGGGCTGTATGGGGTTTCTATGGGGGGATCCATGGGGGCTGCATAGGGGCTCTATATGGGCTTCTATTCGGGTTCTATTTAGGGACTCCATATAGGGGATCTGTATGAGCTCTGTTAGGGGTTCTATAGGTTCTCTATAGGGGATCCGTGTGGGAGTCTAGAGGGGCTTCACTGGGAGCTGCACACAGGGTCCTTTGGGGGCTCTATAGGGGTCCATGGGGAGGCATATAGGGGATTCCATGGGGGCTCTCTAGGGGACTCCATAGAAATTCTATAGGGCCCTACATAGGGCTCTATAGGGCTGTTAGGGGTCCTGTAGGGGTTGGGTTCTATAGGGGCTGCATAGGGCTCTATGGGGGTCTATAGGGGTCCTGTAGGGGTTCCATAGCAGCCCTATAGGGTCTATGGGGGGGTCTATATAGGGCCCTCTATATAGGGGCTCCATGGGGTTGCATAGGGACCCTATAGGGCTCTAAATGGGGGTGGGGGGGGAATTATATAGGGCCCTCTATATAGGGGCTCCGTGGGGTCCCATAGGGGCTCTATAGGGCCTATGGGGGGATTATATAGGGCCCTCTATATAGGAGCTCTGTGGGGTTCCATAGAAACCCTATAGAACTCTAAATGGGGTGGAGGGGGGAACTATATAGGGCCCTCTACATAGGGGCTCCATAGGGCTCCATAGGAATCCTATAAGGCTCTATGGGTGGTCTATATTGGGCCCTATATATAGGAGCTCTGTGGGGTTCCATAGGGACCCTATAGGGCTCTAAATGGGGAGGGTGGGGGGTCTCTATAGGGCCCTCTATATAGGGGCTCCGTGGGGTTCCATAGGGACCCTATAGGGCTCTAAATGGGTCGGGGGGGGGGGGTCTATATAGGGCCTTCTATGTAGGAGCTCCATGGGGTCCCATAGGGGCTCTATAGGGCCTATGGGGGGGTTATATAGGGCCCTCTATATAGGGGCTCCGTGGGGTTCCATAGGGGCCCTATATGGTTTATGGGGGGTCTATATACAGCCCACTACATAGGGGCTCCATAGGGTTCCATAGGGACCTTATAGGGCACTAAATGGGTCGGGGGGGGGTCTATATAGGGTCTTCTATATAGGGGCTCCATAGGGTTCAATAGGGGCCCTATAGGTCTCTA